GCGGAATGGTAAATGGTCGGGAGCGGAAAAAAGAAAGGGGGAAAGAGAGAATGCGTGTGAGATTACGAACGCGCAAAAGCGTTTCACGATAACGGAGCGCAACGCACGCGCGTCTCGTAATACGCCACGCGCACACGTATTTAGTTACATTATTACCGCGCACGTATATTCGACGATTACTGCGATCGGATGCGGGCGCGTGTACGTATGTAATCGATATCGAAGCCAGATAAAAATGATATTATGCCGCTGCGATTATGATACCCGCGGCAGATCAAATCGGTCGCAGCCGAGTCCCGCGCTCAACGCGCACTCCCGCAGATGCGGCATGCAGATTGCAAATACGATTAAGCGTTATTGCGTTTTCTACTTGCCTCGGAATTGCATTCTTTCAAATTTTATTATCCGCCGATATCGATTGGTCGAGTGAGCGAGCGAGAGAGAGAGAGAGGGGGGGAGAGAGAAAGAGAGAGAGAGAGCTGCGGGCACACGGTGTCTCTTGGCATGCGCACACGCATACGCGAGTTAACACGTACGGGCAACCGACCGAATAAACGACGTACAATTACATCATCACACGTCGCGCGACAAAGCGTGTGATATTAATTTCCAAAAATTAACACCTCTGTAGCACGAAAAATCAAAGGCCTGGCGAGTCGCGGCCAGAGAACGACGCAAGAGACTAAATGCTCGTTAAACGAATTGTCGAACATGTGCTCGTTGATGAGATATTACACAGGGTGTATTGTGAAAGTACCACGCGGTTACAGCACGAACAGTTTTCTCATTTTGCTTTCGCTTTGCTCCTCCCCCCTCTCTCTCTCTCTCTCTCTCTCTCTCTCTCTCTCTCTCTCTCTCCCTATCTCTGTCAAGCGGAAGGCGCAATTAATTTTTCGTTCTTAAAAGAAGGATTTTCAAGTAAGGTCCTTTTTCCCATCCGTCCCCCCTCTCGTTGTTTCGCGGCCAATGGTACAGGCGATAGGAGCGCTTGTAGATTCGCGCCCGTTCGTGCTAGGGCAAAGTGGCTATTTTCCGGCCAGTGCTCACCGATTAAGAATCCGATCCCGGCCAAGGAGCAAGGGATAATCCAAACCCGAGACTCACGAATGAGCTTTCTTCCTGAGTTTAGCATTAACCGATACAAAAAAGAGGGGATGGGGGGAAGGGGAAAGAATGCAGTAACGGCGACGATAAGCGTTTCGTGACTCTTCTCGCGCGTCTCCCCGATTACCGCTCGTGCGCAAATCATCACGAAAATAACGGAAATGTACATGTCGGGCGAACGATATCGTTCTCCGCGACTTTGCAAAAAGCACGAGCGAGCTTATGTGGAAACTCCCGTTTTTCGTACGGTCCCTCTTATTTACCGGTCAAGTCAACGAGCAAACTCGAATTATTTAGAAAAAAAAAAAAAAAGAAAAGGACCCGGGATAAAACGACGGAGAGCTCGAGGGACGGTAAAACGGGCGAACCAGCGAACGGCCGACCGGGGAAAAGGGGGTGGCGGCCGTGAAGTAAATAGGAGTCGTGGTCGTTCTGCCGTAAAATTGTATGTGAAATTGTGCGATGTGTCTTGCGAATTGAATCGCCGGAAACGACATTGATTTTATTGCTTGTTTCCAGTGCTGTATACTTCATCCTACCCTCTTCTCCGACTTCCAGACCCCTCTCTCTCTCTCTCTCTCTCTCTCTCTCTCTCTCTCTCTCTCTCTCT